GAGAGGTGGAGTTACACACAGAGAGAGTGAGAAGCAGTGAGAAAGGTCATTCTTCCACTGCTTCACTGGTTAATGGCTACAATGGCTGTAGCTTAACTGATACAGACACAGATCAGTTGGGCTTTCTGCCACTGCCTTCCCAGGCCATAAGCAGACAGCTGGATCAGAAGAGGAGCAGCCACGACACAAATTGGTGCCAACATGGATTCAGGCACCACAGCCAGAGGTCTAACCTATTATACCACAGCCCAGGCTTCACCAATTATCTTTTTTTTTTTTTTGACAGGCAGAGTGGACAGTAAGAGAGAGAGAGAGACAGAAACTGAAATCAGTCCCTAGATCAAGGACCATCTCTTCAACAAACGGTGCTAGGAAAATGTGATCTTCACATGCAGAAGTATGAAACAAGACCCCTACCTTACACCTTACACAAAAACCCACACAAATTGCACCAAGGTCCAGAATCTATGAACTGATACCACTGAATTAATAGAGAACAGTGGGGAAACTCTGAAAGACAAACATTGGCATAGGCAATGACTTCTTGGAAAATAACCCAAAAGCACAGCCAATCAAAGCCCAAATTCACAAATGGGATTGCAAAAAAACGATGCATCTGGACTGCAAAGAAATACTTAGCAAAGTGAAGCGGAAACCAACAGAATGGGAGAAAATATTTGCAACCACATAAATGATAAAGGATTACTATCCAGAATCTATTAAGACCTCAAGAAAGTCAACAACCACAAAACAAACAACCTAGTTATGAAATGGACAAAGGATTAAACAGGCATTTTTTCTGAAGAGCAAATCCAAATGGCTATCAGACACTTGAAAAACTGACCAGGATCACTAGCCTTCAAAGAAATATCAAATCAAAAAACCACAAGGAGGTTTGCCTAACACCAATGATAACACAGCGTCTCATATATAAATCAACAAATAAGAAATGCTGGCAAAGACATGGGGGGGAAATTAACTTACTCCACTGTGAGTGGAAAGTGGTAACTGGTGCAGCAAACTGTGAAGACAATATGGGAGATACAGCAGAGTATGAAAATAGGGACCGGCGCGTGGGCACAGTGGTTTAAAGTCCTGGTCCTGGCAAGCACTGTCATCCTACATTGGCACCTGTTCTAGTCCTGCTGCGGTCCCGAACCTGGAGAGTGAACCATGTGCATGGAACGTCCTCTCTCTCCTCTCTCCTCTCTCTCTCTCCTCTCTCTCTACCTCCTCTCTCTCGCTCTTTGTCTCTCTCTTTCAAATAATAATCTTTAGAAAAAAGAAGTATGAAAATAGATCAAATGATCCAATACCTGGGAATTTGGCCCAAACAAAACAGCTTTCAGCATATGAAGGAGTGATTGTACTCTAATGTTTATTGCAGCACCAATTCACAATACCAAAGACATACATTCAAGTCAAATGTTCATCAACTGAGGACAGGTAGAGAAATACTATGGAATACTACTCAATGATTAAAAAAAATGAAACCCTGTCTCTAGCGATTAAATGGATGCAAGTAGACCATTACACTTAGTGAAAAAAAAGCTAGATACACGAAGAACAAAAGTATGTTTTCCTTGATCTATGGTAACTAACAGAGTACCTATATTAAAACACACACGATTGAAATCGACGTTTTGCTATTTGACGATCGTTTTATAGCTTTAGTTTCTATTGTTGAAGAAAAGTGTTTTGTATCATTGTTTTTACTATTGTTTCCTACTCTTTTGAATGCTTAATCTTAAGAGTCTGAAGTAATCTGAACACAGATCCTTTTAAAAAAACTAAGAATGAGAAAAGGTGATAGAGAAGGGAAAATGTTGGAAGTGTGGGAGCATGGATTATGGGTTCAAGGGCGCAACGGGGGCAGGTTGGAAAATATCACTGTGTTCCTAAATATATGTATATGAAATTTGTATTTCATGGGAAATTTGTATTTCAAATTTAGACAAATTGAACTTAAACAACTTTAAACTAGGTTACTATAAAGACAATGGAAATGAAATTCTAAAACTAGAAAATGACTTGCAACACATTTATTGACAAGATATCGATGTCCAGAACACATAAAGGAGTATTAAGACTAGATAACCAATTAAAAGATAGAGACTGATGCAATACATGAGGAATGAGACTTCACACACTACTGTGTCCAAAAAAACATATGTTTTAAGAATAAAGGCCAGTGCCGCAGCTCACTAGTCTAAGCCTCTGCCTGCGGCACCAGCATCCCATATGGGCGCCGGGTTCTAGTACCAGTTGCTCTTCTTCCAGTCCAGCTCTCTGCTGTGGCCCGGGAAGGCGGTGGAGGATGGCCCAAGTCCTTCAGCCCTGCACCCACATGGCAGACCAGGAGAAAGCACCTGGCTCCTGGCTTCTGACTGGCGCAGCACAAGGGCTGCAACACACCAGCTGTAGCGGCCATTTGGGGGTAAACTAACAGAAAAGGAAGACATTTCTCTCTCTCTCTCGCACGCTCTCTCTCTCTCTCTCTCTTTCACTGTCTAACTCTGCCTGTCCAAAAACACAAAAAGAATAAAGACACACAGAGGAGTCCAGATTTGAGGCCATGTTATCAAAAGGGTGGTAAATTTCATTTATATCAGAGTAAATTAAGGTGACCTACAGGGGTGGGCGCCGAGGCGAGGTGAGTGAATCCTCCCCTACAGCTCGGCATCCCATATGGTGCCGGTTCTAGTCCTGGCTGCCCCTCTTCCAATGCAGCTCTCTGCTATGGCCTGGGAAAGCAGTAGAAGATGGCCCAAGTGTTTGGGCTCCTGCACCCACATGGGACACCAGGAAGAGGCTCCCGGCTTCAGAACGCACAGTTCCAGGCCGTGTGGCCATCTGGGGAATGAACCACAGAAGGAAAACCTTTCTCTGTCTCGCCCTCTCACTGTCTGTAACTCTACCTCTCAAATGAATTGATAAAAATCTTTAAAAAAATCAATAAAGTGATCTATTGTACAACATGGTGGCACTGTTTAACAACAGTGTATTCTACAGAAACCTCGCTGGGAGATTACGTATCAAATTTTATTTTGATAAAACATGTGTATAATACACACCAAAATTAGCTTGATTTAGCCATTCTGCATTCTGGATGTATTTACTAGCTCCATCTTTAACCAACAAATATATTCAATATTTGCTGCTTTGAGACAAAGAATTACATATTTTAAATAATAAAAAGAATCAATTAGGTTAAAATAAAGGTGAAGAGGAAAAACCATTCTAACAGCAGCTCAAAGAAATGGATTGGTGACACTGATTTTCACAAATCATGCATTAGAAATTATAACGGTATAAGTATAAACATTATTGAAATTAGATAAAAATAAAGGAGAAAGTTCTCCAACCTAGAAAAATGCTTATATGTATGCACCTACACAGGGAAGAAATTGCATAAGGCAAAAGCTTACAGAATTACAAGTGAATTTACAGACACATTAATGACAAAAAGTGTAATTAAATAGCACTCCATAAATACAAAAGTAGTGGTGAGGAGTATTTAGCAATGTTTTATCATAGAGTGAAGCTACTTAAATTATATGGAAAGGATACATTAGACCACTCCAAGTATTGGTAATTCACAAGAATAATATACCTGGATATTATTCTCTATACTGACAACACTTCCTACTGAATTTAAATTTATTTACAACCTACAACCTGATTTTCCTCAGAACATTAAAAAAAATCACAATGCATTGTCATGAGCAAGAATGGCACTACCCAACCCCTTCAAAGATAAACTTGAAAGAAGCCAAGACCCCTAAACACTTGAATCAGTGAACTAGCTAAGCACAGCCTGAGACACACATGTGTGTAAAAAAGGGGGAAAACTCTTTCCAGTATAATAACAATAATTCCTAGCAACTTCTTCAAAATTTGCAAATTACTCTTTGGTAGAAATGGCAATGTTTATTATAAAGTACAACCAAATGGAAAAAAAAAAAAACAGGAATGGGTCACCTCTGGGTGCAAAGGTGGACAGGAATAGGAAGTCATTTGAACTGACCCAAACTCACTGAGCTACCAGGGTGGTCAATCCATGGTGCACCTATTCCTACTAGAAGTTAGCAGAAAACAATGACTTCACGAATTTTCCCTATCATCCTTTCTACTCAGGTTAATCCTACGAAATCAAACAATCATGCACAAAGCATGGAACTAATTCCAAACGGATGGGCTCAGAGAAATCAAACAGCAGCATGACTCTGTTAAAGAAATGAAAGAAGATGGCTACGGGATGACACCCATCTGAATTTCTTGTGAAAATTTAATTTCCATTATCAGAAAAGAAAAAGGAGGTTCTTTAAGGGCCCATCGGCTCTTTCCCTTAAGAATACCTGAGGAAACTCAGCAGTGTCCCTAAAAAAGGCTAACTGGCTTGGTGTCTCCTGCTGATCCTTTCTGACTCCACATTAGGTCCTGCGAAGTTTCAGGCCTCCTCCATGTAGAGGACCATAACTTGCAGCTAAAATAAAAGTTTTGTTTCCAACTTACTCTGTCTGTGGCTCTGTGTCAACAGGCAGAGAAAAAAGGACTGGACCCTTAGGAAGGCTATTCTGCAGGGACTCGGGACAGGAAACTCAGGGGATTCCGATAACCACTACCAGGACAGGAGTGACTGACGGCCCCACAGACAGCAGGTTTTCCTCTGCGTCAATCCCCGCTTGCAGTCCTGGTTTTCCTTAGTGACCACCGTGGCCTCGCTGTAGACACGGGCTGATGGTACAAAGCTGCTCATACTGAGCCAACGCCGCTGCTTGCAGGAAGGGGTTTGGGATGACTAGGGTCCTCGGTGTTGGCCCATTCTACACGCCATGGATGGGGCGGGATCCAGGTAGCTGCTGCCCCAGCACAAAACTAGGCTCTGAAACTTATGAAACTGAGCACGGGGAGCCCTGTGGCTCACGTTAGTCATTTCCAGTGTGTTGCCACCGGTTACTCACCTCATCCCCATGAGAGGCCCAGCCTCGTGTACTCACCACTTTCCGGCTTCCAAGGTGATCCCAAGCTTCTCCTTTGCTCCGCCCCGCGCAGAGGAAGGGCACCAGAAAGGAGAGTTTGAAGCGCTAAGCGCTGTTCAACGTCTATCAGCCAAACCCATGCGCAACTATGGCGTCTTCTCAAGGGATCCCGCGGAGTCGGAGTACCTATTGGTGCAACTAGCGTGCCTGCTGATTGGACAGTTTGCACGCCCGTTGTGTGCGTATGCCATAGCGAGTGACTCAGCCAATCAAAGCCCTCTCCGTCACAGTGGGGTCACGTGGAGTTGTGCCGGGTGACTGGGGAAGTGAATGTCGAGGTTTGAGGTCTGATTTGAAGCGGCTGCTTTCTGTTTTGTCCCACACCTCTCAAAAGATGGAGGGTGCTCACTTTTCTGTCCGTCCCACTTCGTGCTCCCCTCTTTACCTCATGTGTCTGAGTTCCCGCTAGCAAGTTATGATCTGCAGTTTGCAGTAACCTGCTGAAGGTGCCTTAACAGTCCACTGAACATTCAGTGGCCTTTGGACCATTTTTAGTATTGCTTTCTGCATATGCTCGATCTATTTTTCTGTTAGGTCTTCCTAGTCTTTTCTTAACGTACCGTTTTCACTGATAGATGTTTACATATATTACATAGATTAGACCTTTTTTGGTTCATTCTTTAGATATGTAGTTCCTATTCTGTGTTTTGTCGTTTAGTTTTATTTTCCTATTGTGTTTGTTGCTACATAGTAATTCTGTGAATTTCAGTTATTGCTATTGCATCCAGTAAATTGATTTAGCTGGGTTTGGATTATGTGGAGTTACCTTTCATCCGAAAGTGTGACTCTCAAATATTGTTCCTTAAATGTCAGTCCTTAAAGCGTGTTTCCAAGAGTGCACCACTTCAGTGCAATGTCGGAGGCAGCTAGTGAAAAGAGGAGAGCTTGTCTGAGTCCATTCCCAGGGAAAAGCTTCCAATGATTCTGTATTACTTGGTTGATGTAAGTTGGTTTTAGGCATTCTTGGTCCGAAAAGCAAGTTACTATTTCTTTTTACTCTTCTGTTTATTATTATAGCCAGGTAATACAATTTTTTAAGTACTGTTAAATATTAAATATTAATCGAAGCATGCAGATTTCTTTCTTAAATATCAAGTGCCCCTCAAGAATGGACCAGAATTTTTTTTAACTTTTATTTAATGAATAAAAATTCCCAAAGTACAGCTTATGGAGTACAATGGCTTTCCTCCCATAACTTCCCTCCATACTGCAACCCTCCCCTTTCCCAGCTCCCTCCCCCCTTCCATTGTCATCGATTCATTTTCAATTCTCTTTATATACAGAAGATCAGTTTAGCAATATTAAGTCTAGATTTCCACAGTTTGCACCCACATAGAAACATGAAGTGGAAAATATCATTTGAGTAATAGTTATAGCATTAATCACACTGTACAGCACATTAAGACAGAGATCCTACATGAGGAGTAAGTGCACAGTGACTCCTCCTGTTGACTTAACAACTTGACACTCTTTTTTTTTTTATTTGTTTATTTTTTTTTTGACAGGCAGAGTGGACAGTGAGAGAGAGAGACAGAGAGAGAAAGGTCTTCCTTTTGCCGTTGGTTCACCCTCCAATGGCCGCCGCTGCAGCAGGCGCACCGCGCTGATCCGATGGCAGGAGCCAGGAGCCAGGTGCTTTTCCTGGTCTCCCATGGGGTGCAGGGCCAAGCACCTGGGCCATCCTCCACTGCACTCCCTGGCCATAGCAGAGAGCTGGCCTGGAAGAGGGGCAACCGGGACAGAATCCAGCGCCCCAACAGGGACTAGAACCCGGTGTGCCGGCGCCGCAAGGTGGAGGATTAGCCTATTGAGCCACGGCGCCGGCTCACAACTTGACACTCTTGTATACGAGCATCAGTAATCACACTAGGCTCTTGTCATGAGTTGCCAAGGCTATGGAAGCCTTTTGAGTTCACCGACTCTGATCCTATTTAGACAAGGTCATAGTCAAAGTGAAGTTCTATCCTCCCTTCAGAGAAAGGTACCTCCTTCTTTGATGACCTTTTCTTTCCACTGGGATCTCACCTGTGGAGAACTTTCATTTAGGTCATTTTTTCCCCCAGTGTGTCTTGGCTTCCCATGCCTGATATACTCTCATGTGCTTTTCAGCTGGATCCACATGCTTTAAGGGCTGATTCTGAGGCCAGAGCGCTGTTTAGGACATCCGCCATTCTTGAGTCTGCTGTGTATCTCGCTTCCCATGGTGGAGTCGTTCTCCCTCCCTTCTTATTCTATCGGTTAGTATTTGCATACACTAGTCTTGCTTATGTCATCCCTTTGGCTCGTAGTCCTATCATTTGATCAATTGTGAACAGAAATCGATCACTCCAGACTAGTGAGATGGCATGGGTACATGCACCTGAATTGGAATCCCCTGATATGTTTCTAACATCTACCATTTGGGGCAAGTCAGCTTGAGCATGTCCCAAATTGCACATCTCTTTCCTCTATTATTCCCACTCTTATATTAGCAGCAATCACTTTTCAGTTAAGTTTCAACACTTAAGAATAACTGTGTATTGATTACAGTATTCAACCTAAGTAGAACAAACATAAATATACTAAGTGGGATAACGTATCAAGTTGTTCATCCGCAGTAAGGGCAAGGGCTGATCAAGTCCAGCGTTTTCTCATAGTGTCCATTTCACTTCAACGGGTTTCCCCTTTGGTGCTCAGTTAGTTGCCGCCGATCAGGGAGCCATAATAAGGTTAAAAAACACAAAATCCACAACTTTCTGTTCTTTCTGAGTTTGTCAGATATATCATGGCTCTGCCACTACAGCAATATATGTCACCCTACAACCATTCCTTTTCAAATATGTATTATTCATTCATTTGTTAGTTCAAGAGGCACAGAGCTAAAATGAGCTCCGACACACTGGTTACTCTGCACATGCTCCAACTGTCCCTAGCTGAGCCTGAGGCCAGGAGCTAGGAACTCAATCCATGTCATAAGTGGTGTGGGACCTATGTACTTGAGCCATCACCACTGCCTCCAAGGCATGCATTGGCAGGAAGGTAGAGTTAGGGTCAGGGATTGAACCCAGGCACTCTAAAATAGGGCAGAGAAGTTAAACTTCTAGATCAAATACTGCCCCCACAGAATGAATGTCTGTTTTGGCCATTCATGCCGTGCCCTACTCCAGGCCTTGGGAGTCCTGAACTTCTTCTGTTGTTACTTTGTCTTTTCAAAAGCTTCATGGAAGTGATTCAAGTGGTATTGACCCTTGGTGTGTAGCTCTTTTCCACTGTTCCAGGTTACCACATGGATTCATCAGCTATCTTGCATGTGTCCTTGGAGCACTCCTGCATTAAGTTATCTCATGTGCATGTGCCATTGATAATGGGTTTAGCGAGGGGTGAGCAATTAGGCTCTTCATTTTTCACCTGTTATGAGCAAAGCTGTTACAAACATTTCGGTAAAAGTCTTTGTGTAGACATGCTTTTTGACCTAGTAATTACCTAGGACTGGCGTTGCTGGGTTGTATAGTAAGTGAATGTTTTACCTTTAGGGGAAAACTGGCATACCAATAAGTGGCTGTACCACCTTTTTTATTTCAACTAACAATGAGTGACAGTTTCATTAACTTCATATCCTCCTGTAAACTTGGATGATGTGCTGCTATAGCCTTGCAGAGTAGAATGTGTGTGTAATGGAATCGCAGTGCAGTTAATTTACATTTCTTGAGAGCCCAGAGTGTGCATCATCTTTCGTGTACTTATTTTTAGCCATAGTATATCTTCTGGTCCTGGTGTTTCTCATAGCCACGGGATTGGGTAGGTGGTTTCATTAGATATTCTGAAGTTCAAACTTCTGGTCTTACAGTGATGGAGGAACTTACCGATGTTGTGAAGAAAATAGGGTAGAAGCAAGGTGCTCATGCCGAGGTTCCCAAGGGGTTCTTGAGGGTTTCTATGATCTGTACAGTTTTATGTTTTAATTTTAAACGAAGTTTTTCTTTTTAAAAATGTATTTATTTTAGAAGTGGAGTTACAGAGAGAGAGAGAGAGAGAGAGGAGAGGAGAGAGAGAGAGAGAGAGAAAGGTTCTTCCATTCACTGGTTCACCTCCAGATGTCCCCAACAGCTGGAGCCGGGTCGATCTGAAGCCAACAGCCAGGAGCTTCTTCCAGGTTTCCCATGTGGGTGCAGGGCCCCATATATATTCATATATATGAACATACACATACACATACACATATATTGCAGCTTTTGGTATTTTTGGTATTGGTAGATTTAAGCACAACTGTATCAATTATAGCATGATATGTAAATGATCTAAATACTCCAAAATGTAGCTTTTGTTGAAACGGATGAAAAGGCAACACGAAATGATATACTGCCTACATGACACCTACCTTAGACACAGACACAAATAAAGGGCAGAGAAAGATAGGCCCATGCTAACTTTAATCATAAGAAAGCTTGGGTTGCTATATGAACATCCAAATAGACTTTAAGTAACACTAGGGATATCCCAAGTACTGGTCTGATTTGTTTAAAACCTTATTTATTTGAAAAGGAGAGTTGTGGAGAGAGGGGAAGATAGATCTTTTCTGCTGGCTTACTCTCCAGTGGCCACAACAGCTATGGTTGGCCCTAGACAGAAGCCAGGAGCAGAAGTGGAACAGCTGGGCCTCAAAACTAGCACCCTATAGGATGCCAGCATTGTAGGCAGCCAGCCCGACCAATTGCACCACAATGCTGGTCCCACTGCTGATACGGTTATGAAGAATAGTAGTAGGGAGAAAGTGTCATTTCATAATGATAAAGGGGTCAATTCATCAATAAGCCAAAATAGCTCCTGTCTTGGTCTGCATAGGCTGCTTAGGCAATGTAAGGGCATCTTCAAAGTTCATTAAAGCAAATATTATGGAAAAAACTGATGATGGTTTTTTAAATGGTTTTGCACCAAAATAAATTTTCAAGATATTATTTGTTTTTGTTTTTTTTTTTGTTTGTTTTGTTTTTGTTTTTG